CCTTGATTTCTCTGTGTCTTTGATGCCCCTTGGCCATGGAGATGATAACCCATGCTGTGGCTAGATTTATTGGTCATGGTTCTAATGAGCCTTTGTGGGGAATACCAAAAACAAAACCGGTCCTTGGTAATGTGAGCAATGAATATTTGTATCACACACAAATGACAGTTTAGTGTAGTCCTCAATACAGCGGGACACAGGGACTCTAACAAAGAGTGCCATGGACTCTACGTATATGGACCTTTGACAGAGTGGACCTTATTCCAATGAATGCAGCACAAGCCATGAAGTGCAGAAGGATTGTGAAGCCTGTACCACTCCGGAAAGGAAACATTGCACAAAAGAGCTTGTGGGTGAATACCACAGTACAAGGTGAGAGGAAATCCTGTCCACGCTCTTGTGCAGCCTATGAGACCTTGGATTGTCTTTGTGAGTTATGGCTCGCAGATGCCACTTTTAAGATTGCTTGTGATTTCTTCTGCTTCAGAGAGCTAGGAATAATCAACTTGTAATGACCGTTGGCATGATCAAGATGACTTATGGCCAGGATTTGTATCCCACATGTTTGATCACTGCATGAATTTGATATGCGGGATTCTATGATTATAGATGTCTTAATCCTGTCATTGCCCCCAAATGCAGCATTAAAGTACATAACTGTATTCTAAATGAGTCTGAGATGTGTCATGATGTGGTGAAGCTGGTGTGTTTACAGTGCCAAACTTCATGAATGAGGTGTGCAGGCAGCCACTACCCAAAAAGTGTGCCTGCAAATGTTAGGGACTTCTGTCCAAAATAAAGGCCTAGAGGTGTAATTGATGAGCTGGAGCTACCACGTACTCATTCTGGCTTTCATGCTGGGAGTTGTCACCATCTAGTTTCCCTTTTCCATGTGGGAGAATAGTAAGATGTATATTAAAGAGAAGAGAATAGATAATAATGAAATATAAATGCATGCAAATAGGATTCTTGCCACTCACTCATGAGATTTTCAACTCACTTTCGCAAGGCTGAGAACCTCATTTTTATGATCATGCCATACCTGCCCAACTGAGTCACCATGGCCTAAGTCAATCAGTGGATTGGGATATTTGGCATAAAGTGCCCACCATTAAATGTGATTCTGCTATTGGACAACATTTGCTATGCAATCCCAACTGTGCTAAGAATTACAATAACAACAGCTTCATCTTAACCAGTTTAAGATTATCAGTCGGGCTTCAAGCGATACTCCTATGTATGCAAGCAGGAAGAACATAGCCAGGCATTGTATCTTTTTCAATTGAAAAGTAGCTCGGGGGACAGCTTATCCCTGGTGCACACATGGCAGTGTCTCTGCCAATCACAGTCCATCTTCCAACCAGTCAGCACCATCTTCTCATACAGAATAAATTGTTGTTCCCTTTAAGAGTTGATATTCTTGCAATTCTGTCCTGATGAGTATAAAACAAAAAGCTTCAACAGTGTCTCTATTTCCTTCAGCAGTCCTCAAGTTCTATACTACCAAGTGACTGCACTAAAAATTGATGTGTTCGTGAAATTGCTGTGTAAAACTGTAAAATATTACTTACAGGGATTTCATGACTTTAAAATCAATACATCATGTGTAAAAGCATTCAGCTACAGACTGTATGTATTTTAAAATTTTTATTTGCACATCTTCAGTGAATTATAGTATTGCATATTGTGCTTTCTGCTCCAAAATGATGTTTATAATGGTTTTTATTTAACTGTTACATGTTACATTATAGAGAAGAGAAAATGATTAGTTATTAAATATTTTGGCTCCAGTGTTCTTCTAGAAAATGAATTCACGTTTTTCAGCTGTTGTAGCATTCTTCAAATGTCTGTCTGGATACGTCCTTATTTGTGTTAGCAAACACATCAGGACTCCCACAGAGGAACTCTTTTTCTATTGTGCTGGGCTTCTCAGGCAAGATGAGAGTTCAGAATATTCTCAATGAAAATCAAACTTTGGTTTCATCACAATACTTCACTCTGCTGGGGCAAAGGGTTAAAATGCAGCTGCATAACAGCATCATAATTACTCTGTTGGCACTGTTGATTGCTGTGATGTACTCAAAAGGTGTAATTAATGGACTATGACCTTCAAACTGCTTCAATGACTTTACTGCAGGTTTGTGCTAAAATCAATACAGACTAATCACACATTTTCTTTATATTTTGAAATGAGTATTATGCTACAATAGTTTGCTCACTCAGCCATATTATTGAACTAAGTAGTTCTAGATGGTTATCAGAAATCTCGCAATCTTACTTGTAAATCTCTGTGAAGTCCACTGTTTAGGTCTCAAACGCTATATTGGCTGTTCAAGCTAAAGCCTAATAGGTATAGTGTACATTTACAATGACAACTAAAATAGGGGCTCTTTAGATGATTAAATACTTGGCAATCATTTTCTACTTGATCTGCTGTATTGTTTCTTTTCCAGTATTGCACATTACAGATCTACTTTGTTAGAACTTAACAAATTAATTCAAAACACCACAAAGAGTTTCCAATTGGTTTGAGGCTATTAAGAAAAATCTTATTTGGAATTCTAAATTGGCTGACGACTCTGCAACTAAAGATGGAGCCAACAGAAGGGCACTGCAAGGAGAGAGGAAGAGCAAATGGAAAACATTGGTACAAGGGTTAAGGAAGTTGCAGAGATGAGGAGGAATGATATTGTGTAGCAATTTATAAACAGGAATGAGGAATTTAAAACGCTTTGTGGGAAGTATTTTACGACAGAGAAAATAGGGAAGTAGCTAGAAGATACAAAGGGAAAGCTCACCAAAGCTGAAGTCACAAAATGTGTTATTGATGACTAAGGCTGTCTTAGGGTATGGTTGAAACAGGACACGGTCTATCGGCTTGAAGTTGGATGGTGGCAGGTTCAACGGACTTGAGTAAGAAAGGAAGGATGAAGGTGGTAGTTTAAAAAATAAATGAGATGAAAGGTTTATTTTTGAAGAAGAGATGTGGAGGGATGGGTTCTGAGGAAAGGAATCCATTAAGGATATCAGCATACACCTAGTAGAGGTTCTATTGAGGGAAACAGGTTGAGAGGATAAAGGGCACCTGAGGTGACTTTGCAAATGAGAGAAAACTGCCAGAAAATTGAATTATAGCATCTGTGAAGAACAACAGGACTAACTGGGATCATGTAAACTATTTGTGTAATTATGTAACTACCATGTGCAATGTTGTTTTGGAAAGGCATGCAGTTTTTAACTTTTTTACCAAAACTGGAGATTACATGCAATCATTTTAATGTTGTATTTAGAGTACCTGATTTAGTCACCATTTATTCAATCTTGCTTAAACTTATTTAAAATTGTTCAAAAGGTACCTTGGCAAAATGGTGTTTTCAGTGATAGTAGGAACTGCAGATGCTGGAGAATCTGAG